ATTTGAAACCAACGAAGGACAGGGGCGGGTTTGTACAAAAATAAGAATTGAAATGCGTGTCCCTTATCAATGCGCTTATACCGCTTGTCATAATCATAGGTTGACCTTGAAGTCTATAAGATTGAACTCTTATGATTGTGATGACGCAAACGTTGTATAAACCAGCTTTTAGTCAGCAACTAGCTCTTCAAGTATAGCAGATATGTGAATGTAACATATATATATATATTTATATGCTATTTTAAACTCTCATTTTTTCCGAAAAGAATCAGGAGCATCTGAAAAGTGAAAAGACGAAATTTAAGCAATTTTAACTTTTTTCGTTTTGTGTCCTTAGCTCTGCCGATACTGGATTGATTTTCAAAAACTACGGCATGTTAGTAAACCTTGTGTGAGAATTTCATCAACTTCCCGTGTTATAGACGGGCTAAGAATTAGCGGACAGTCCAACAGACGGATAGACCGACGGAAATGTGTGATGGTTTTTCGAGATGTAAGTAACTATTCGTCATTTGTTTGTCTGGGCGGTCCGTAGGAACTTTACCCATTAATCACAATTTTCGTGTTGTGTATGTCATAAGTAGTATAACCTCCAAAAAATATAATACCTCATTTTCGAAATTTTTCGCGATTACAATACTTCCCCACCACTAGCGTAGGAAGTGAAAGCAAGAGGATTTGTTAATACTGTTGTGTATTACCGTGCACAACTCCTGGAAAATGTGTGCTGTTACTTAACTAGCCACATGAAAATGATGCTACTCATTTTCTATCCGTGATATTTACGATACATGACATCTCTAGGACGACCTGATAGCTTATAAATGAAATCAGCTTGACATGAAAGGAAGCTTGTATTGTATTAATATGGCTTTTTCACTTGCTATTTCAACTGTTATTATTGTTTTGTTATGCTTATACATTTCCATGATTCTGACTCTAACTCTGATCTGATGATCGTAGCTCTCCCCAATCCTGTTTGATTATATCTGCCCCTTTTTCTCCAATCATATATGCTGGACCGGTCAAATGTGCAGAAATAGACCTAGGAATAACACCCGTATCTATTACTCTTAATCCTTTTAAACCATGTACCCTCAGTTTGGCATCGACGACAGCTGTCTTGTCCTCTTTTGGGCCCATCTTGCAAGTGGATTGTTGATGCCACAAACTACCTGTGAGCTCTCTGATTGCACATTCCCAATACTCGTCAGTATCAAAAGTGAAATTAGCGCAACCTGAAATAAAATAACTGTTTGAGAGCCTCTATAGTACTTATTCTTAATACTACCATTGATTGACGTATTCTACCTGGAAAAAGCCAGCTTAATGCTATATTCCAACGTCAAAAAAGTGTCCGTAATAAAATGAGGCACCGTAGCCTCATCTATGAGAATTTGTCACAACTGTTTCTTTGTTTACTATATATCGTATATGAGTTTAGTATTAGGTTTGATGTCAGGTAGAATACATTAAACAATGGTACTCACGAAATGTATGCATATGCGAGCATTCAGTCAAGATCCAATACAAAAGTGGATTGCAACAGCTTTTTGGCATTGTGAAAGCTCTTCTTTAACGGGACGCCACGTCTCCAGCATCCGTAGCCAAACTAAGCTTTTAAAATATACAGGGTGGACCATCCATGTGCGAACGGAATATTACTCATAAACAAATACATTTTCGGAAAATCTATTTATGGCATATTATACATGACATTTGAAAGCACATTTCTAAAATATTGGCAATTATGCAGGGTATCTCAATTTAGACCTGCATATCAAAGTTTTGATTTTTTAAATAGAATGCCTCAAATTTTATTACATATTTGGGTAAATCAATTCAAAAGAAGAAAATTGATATAGCATACTATGGGGTTTTGGTAATTAGCTACTGAGGTGTAAGGTGTTTTGTCCAGGACAACCATCCACTTCGGCAACCCCTCAATCCGCCATTTTGAAATTTGGAGAGCTGAATTTTGTATCAAAAAAAAACTTAAATACCTCAGCTTTTTTTTATTCGTTACTTTTTCAAATTTTCATTTTCGCTCATACAGGGTGGTCAAAAACGCAAATTGTACTTTTTCTCAAAAAATTCAAATGCATCACCCTGTATATGTGTGCAAGTTTGGATTCAATTCCATATAAGCTTTTTTTTGTATAAGGTTTGATTCAGATAAAATCACTAGATTTTGAGTTATTAAGCTTTTAATAGAACAACACACCAAAATTAAGGAAAAAAATCACATCATCCATGGGAACAAAAGACAAACAGTGGCCTAGTTTCCATATTGCCACTAAGAGTACAGATTTGATGTAGAAAACTAATAACAGAATAGTATAAAATCAGCTTCAAGTGTATCAGAGAAAAACACCTATAACAGCAACACAAAACAAACACTATCACTACTCAAGACCTAATTTACACAAACTACTGCTCGTAAATATCGCCACCATGTTGAATACACAGCCGTAGTCATTGGATAAATGACCGTTGCACATCACTCAGCATGTGTTCCCTTATGTTCAGAAAACATCCTAATCCTTCCTTCCATATTTTCCGGGGTAGATGGTGGATATCTATAAACCTCTTGCTTAACTTAGCAACATAGAAAGAAGTCCATCGGTGTCATATCTGGTGATCTAGGAGGCAAGACTTATCCAACGATTGTTACTCTCCAGGTATCCAATAGTTACGCACACGATTATGAGAATGCGCAGGTGCGCCGTCATGATGGAAGTACATATGCATCCGATTTTGTAGGTTGACATCCTCCAAAAGTAAAGGCAAATGCTCGACCAAAAAATTCAAGTATTCTATACCTGTCAATATGTTGTCGAAAAAGAAAGGTCCGATAACTTGTCTGCCATAACTGCTTCCCCAAACATTCAAGCTCCATTTATTTTGGAAATATATTTGTCTAACCCAGTAAGGGATTTTCCGTTGCTAGTGCATGTCATGCCTGTTGACAACACCTAGGCTGTTAAAAGTTGCTTATAGCTAAAAAGAACCTTATCCAGGGAGGTAGTGTCTCCACTCACTTATTTAGCATTATTCTACTAAGCGCCATTCGAGCTGCAAATCCAAAGGCCCTGATGCAAGCATGGGTGATATGGATAGCACCTATGCTTGTGAATAATCCTTGAACAGAAGTTCTGCATATATCAGTTTCTGCACCAATTTGCCGTGCACTTAAATGGGGATTTCCCTGCAACTTTAATAGAACCTCTAACTGATTCGCCAATTGGTGGCACTTGGATTATTTATACCTTTTTTACTATAATCCACTTGATTCAAAACGTTTTCGCAGTGTGGAAAATGCTTCCGGCCTTGGATGTCGCATATTAGGGTAGCGTTGCTTATAATGCGAGATGCTAGGAATCTATTCGTTTGGGCTTCGCCCAAAGCGAACACCATATTCACCCATTTTTTCTTTAGGAAAATTCATTTTCAAACACGTTTTTATTATATGCTCATAAAGCTAATTTTGACAGTTTGTAACTCATCAACAATTTATTTGTTTCCAGGATGACGCGATATTTTAGGGAATTAAGCCGTTCCATAAAAGACGTGCTTATATCCAAAAAATAGTCATAAAAAACCCTTATGTGTCTAGTATCAAAAAAAGCTTATAAAAAATTGAATCCAAACCTTGCGCAAATATAGGGTGATGCTTTTGAAAGTTTTGAGAAAAACTACAATTTGCTTTTTGACCACCCAGTATGAGCAAAAGTTAAAATTCGAAAAAGTAACATATAAGATAAAAGCTGAGGTGTTTTTGATACAACATTCAGGGCTCCAAATTTCAAAATGACGGACGGAGGGGTTGCCGAAATGGCGAGTTATTCTAGACAAAACACCTTATATCTCGGCAGCTGATTACCAAAACCCCATAGTATGATATATCAATTTTTCTTCTTTTGAATTGGTTATTCAAATATGCAATAAAATTTGAGGCATTCCATTTGAAACATCGCAGCTTGATATGTAGTTCGAAATTGGGACACCCTGTAAAATGGCCAATATTTTGGAAATGTATAACATCACATAAATTGATTTAACCAAATGTATTTGTTTATGAGTAATATTCCGTCCACACATGGATGGGCCACCCTGTATAGCAGCTCCCTTACGTGGAGACTAGTGGCTACGATATAGAAATTGAAAAATAGAATCTACAATTGCAATTAAGCATATGATCTCATCTAGATATACTTTTTTCTTAACCCTCCATTTCCCAGGTCCCCTAGAAAAGACCATTACCAATAATTTTTCAAAAATTCCACCTTAAGTTGACGTCATCGCTCTTATCACTGAGATGACAGGAAATATCGAATTGCAGGTACAAAATTGATATAGCCTCCTTTAGGCTCATAAAAACATGAAGAGCGTGGTTTTAGTTGTTTTTGTTAAGGGATTTTCGTGGGTTTTTTATGTTTGCTTACAGTAGAAACGAAAGGTAGGTTTCGTATTAACCATATTATGATTCGTTTTTGGTAATATTTTTATTCAAATATCTCAGATCCCCTCCACTCAATAGTAAATAAAATCTTATATTACGTAATAAATTTGATTATGACCTCCACTCAATCCTAAATAAAATTTGAATAAAAACAGAATACCATTTTACATTACGTAATAAATTTGATTAAAAACCTAAAACCAAGTACAAAAGGTTTTATTTTTTAATTTTTAAAAATTGTACCTCACCTTGCACCATTCATTCACCTCCCATGTCCAAGGTACCCTATAAGCGACCATATGTTATTTCATACTGTGTATTTGAGAACAAAAGAAAAATAATAATGAGTCTTGATAGTACCCATAACAACCAAAAATCATTCAAATAAATATTTGCTGAGCTATGGGAATTGGATGGTTTATGGCGAGAAACCCACATAACGGTCCTACCAAGATCTAATTTTAATGAAAACCCTTTCCTCTGTCTGACTGACATCCTAGTGTGATAGAATGAAGTGTGATCACTCTAACACACCAATTAGTCCAATATCTTGTTGGTTATTGACAACTTTTTAAATGATATTATCAGTATTCGGACATGTTATTTTCTTCTAACTGCATTTACAATAGTGGAGGATCAGTCTTCGCAAATACCGAAAAATGAGATTTTTATAAATTGGAGACCAAAAATGGACAGGGTTGTGTTAAAGGTGAATTCCCATTAAACGTGTGAATATAACCAACACCATTTACTGTTATACATGCCCTACGTTTTGTCATAAAACATTTTTTAACAAGAACTACTTCCATCCTCGAGGCTAGTTTAGTGTTGAAACAGAATGCTATAACCGTAATCAGCTCAGGCTGGCGATAGAATACAGACGAGGCGCCAGATCCACCTTCATCAATGTTGAACGTTTGGAATTGAAGTCACCTCGACCTGGCCGAGTGTGATGTGCCGAAGTAGTAATCATGTTTCAAAAAAGCATTCGGAATTCTTTGTTATCGGCGGCATCACTTGTGGCTTAAAATGGAGAGAAACATATAAAAAAACTATTCTAGGGTGTGAATACGAGTAGATAAAAAAATCTAACTTTGATAACCAGTAGTATGAAAGTATGATCGCAGAGCCAAATAATCCAAATGAATCAGCGTATGCAGAAACGACACATGTCCATTATATTGCGCCTCGCCTTCATAAATAAGGTAAGTGTAGTAGCTCTGCTTGCAGTCAAATCTCACACAGTTCAAAGCAAATTTTCTCACCCTGGATACAGTCCTGTTCTTTCCGCCACTCCGTCGAACGCTCATACTTTGTTTGTGTGTAGAATCGAGCAGTTCGTTCCCGGTTAGTGCGTACCTTAGTGCCGGGATTTTTTCATATTGTGGGTGTCATGCCCAAAAAATCAATTAAGCGAAGGCACCGCAGCCTTTCACGCGAATCTAGCGCGGAAAATGCAAGAAATATGGGTGATGTAATGAATTGACTTCAAGACATTACTAAGAGATTGCGGAAAATTGAAGATCGCCGCAGCCGAAGCCCAGTACGGGAACGACATCGGAGAGTAGTGTCGTCTTTGTCTTCATCGTCTCAGTCGTCGGAGTCCTCTCTGTCATCTAGATCAAGGACTCCACCTGGTTCGAGTATAATGAATCGGTACTGGGGCCACACTTCAAATTGCACGGTTTCACCGATTTGTTTACCTTCGGCTGGTGAGTAACATTCGAACCTTTTTTCGTACTTCAGGGTATCAAGGAAGTATACCCATTCTCTAAGCAGGTATCGATGAGGGTACCTATTTATTTCGTCTGGTACCAATGAGTGTACCCAATTATGTCGCCTGGTACCAATGAGTGTACTTACGTATTTTGCCGGGTATCGATGAGAGTACCTTTTTTTTGGCTGGATGATAAGGTATCAGTGAGTATACCTTCCGTTTATCCCGCTCTTCACAGTTTCTGGTCAAGTTGGGACAACCTGTCACATTAGTGTTGATGATACACTAACACATCCAGGTGGAATAAAAATGTTGTTTCTTCCAGGGCAAGGAGACGCCCCTCCTCCTGGTGTCGAGCTCTCAGAAGATGTCGTCGAAATCCTGGGCACACCTGATACCAACACAGTCATTTGTGGGCCGAATTTACACAAAGATTTAGTTTCCCGTTGGCAAAAAGCTGTGGCCGCGGGCTTGTCTGAAGAGGACAAAAAGGAACTTTGCAACAAGTATCCTCCCCCCGAAAATTTTCAATACATGGCGGCCCCAAAACTTAACCCGACGGTTGTCAAGGCGATATCACCCTCAAAGGGACACTCGGATGATGGCTCTACAGGGTCAAACAGCCGCATGTTTAGCCGCTACGCGGGCCTACTCTTTAGCTAATGTTGGCTGAAGAGGGGGGGGGCAACCGAAAATACATCAAACTGCTCAACGATGCAAGCAGATTAATGCTAGACGTTTTTTTTTCATCAACAAACGGTGACTCGCAGAAGATTAATTTCGATTAATTTAAACCAGGATTTCCAAAACGCTAACGAAGATATACCATCGGACTCCTGGCTTTTCGACGACGAAAATTTGGAGGAGCGTCTCAAGGCTTCCCACAGCTTGGAGGTGTCCGGGAAGACCATAAAACCAAAACCGGCAAAATCGGTTCGTAAGAATCGCAGTTGGCAATGAATCCAACCTCTGAGGTGCGTGTCGCTGGTAGGCCTAAACATTTCTACCCCAATTGGCTTAGGGTTTGTCAGGATAAATTAGTCCTTAGTTGGGTTAAAGGTTTAAAGTTACCATTTAGACCTTATCCTAAACATCGAAATTTTGCAGTTACCTCATGGTCACTTCAGGATCAAGCTTCTATCCAAGTTTGCATAGTTAAATTACTACTAACAGGAGCCATTACCAGGGCTTCGGCGAGTGATAAGCAATACATTTCTAAAATTTTTCTCAGGCCAAAAAACGATGGCTCTAATCGTCTAATTCTGAATCTGAAAAATGTCAACAGACATATACATTGCAGCCATTTTAAGATGGAAGATAGTCGCACCGTAAAGAATTTAGTCCGCAGGAACTGTTTCCTGTGTAAGGTGGACTTAAAAGATGCGTATTTTGTAATATCAGTGCACAAAAAATACAGGAAATGCTTAAGATTCGATTTTGTGGGCAGCTATATGAATTTATGTGTATGCCCTTTGGGCTAAACATAGCACCTCACATTTTTACAAAATTAATGAAACCCTTTATTACTTTTCTTAGAGCAAAAGGGTTTTATCTGTTATTTACTTGGATGATATTCTTTGTTTGGGAACACTCATGAAGAGTGTTTCTCTAATCTTAAGGAGATCCTTAACCTCTTACTTTCATTAGGCTTCCTGCCAAACTACGAGAAATCCATTTAGCCCCATCCCAGTCAATTCAATATATTGGATTCATTTATAATTCGAGATATGTCTATTCGTATTCCTCATGAAAAAGTTTAAAATCCAGACAGCTAGTGCAAAAAAATGTCATCAGTGGAAAAGTGTAGCATTAGAGAATTTGCCAGATTGTTGGGGGAAACTAGTCAGTATCTGTCCTGGAATCGAGTACGGATGGTTGTACACAAAAACTTCGAACGGGAAAAACACTTAGCATTACTCAAGTCGAGAGGGAATTTTGATGCAATCATGCGACTTTCCCCAACACTTATTCACGATTTAACTGGTGGTTTAATAACTTGCCACAGGCAAAAAACTTCATTCAAGTTGATTCGTTTGTTATAGAAATTTTTTCCGATGCATCAGACTCTGGCTGTGGTATTAGCTGCTTTGGGAAAAAGTCGCACGGGTTCTGGTCGGACATTGAAAAACTACATCACATAAACTATCGAGAACTGTTGGCAGTTTTCTTTGGGCTAAATGTTTTGCAGCTAACCTATCTAATTGTAACATCCTGTGTCGGGTGGATAACACCACAGCCTTGGCCTACATTAATAACATGGGTAGTGGGCGATTTTCAAAACTTAATAGTCTGGCGCGCACCATTTGGCAATGGTGTTAAACAAGAAATGTATTCCTTTATGCGGCATACATAAATCAGCCGATAATAAGGAAGCAGATCTGGAATCTCGTAGTTTGGAAACCGAGACGGAGTGGTCCCTGGACGTATCTGCATTCGAAAACATAGTTGCGCAGTTTGGCAAACCTGAAATTAACCTGTTGCGAGTAGAATTAATGCAAAATGCAAAAACTTTGTTTCATGGTTGAGAGACCCCGAGAGTATGGCAATTGATGCTTTCACGTTGATTTGGGGAAAGCTCTATTTTTGTGCATTTCCGCCATTTTCACTAATTTTGCGGGTATTGAATAAAATCATTCTCGATGGAGCAAGGGGCATTCTTGTCGTCCCCCTATGGACATCTCAACCGTGGTATCCTGTGTTTACATCCCTTTTAGAATGTAATCCAATAAAATTTCGGCCATCCAAGATGTTAATGTCTTTCAACAGGTCACCACACCCCCTTTGGAGAAAGACTACCCTGGTGACAGGAATTGGATCAGGCAGGCGTTGATGTTGGGGAACGTTCCCTCGGAATCGCTAAATATATGTCTTGCATCAGTTACAGATAACACAATTAAGCAGTACAACGTGGGCTTGAGGCTTTGGTGGGAATATTGCAATCGGGAAAAAATAAATATTTACACCCAGTCGGTTTCTGCAGTACTTAAATTTCTAACATTTCATTTCAATAAGGGGTCTTCTTTTAGCTCTCTGAATTCATATAGAGCAGCACTTTCACAGATTGTAGGGCCAAATCTTAGTGAAGATTCAGAATTAAAAGATTTTTCAAAGGACTGAGTTGCTTAAGGCCTCCGCTTCCTAAGTATAACAACACCTGGGATCCAGGCATAGTTTTGAACTATATAAAAAATTCATATTCTACGAATCCTACTTTAGAACAGTTAACTCTCAAGACGGCCATGCTCCTAGCCTTAGCAACAGGCCAACGCGTCCAAACATTAGCTAGTATGGAAGTGTGTAATATTCAAATTTCTCACATCGGATAGAATCTATATCTAAAAGGATAAAGACATCTGGTGTTAACAAAATGCAGCCCAAATTAGTTTTGTCATTTTTTCCGGATAATGTGAATATTTGCCCAGCAAAAACGTTACTGTTATATCTGGAAAAAACAAAGGCTATTCGAGGTAACGAACTGAGTTTGTTTCTATGTTTTAAAAGGCCGCATAGAATAGCCTCTGCTCAAACCATCAGCAGATGATTAAAAACTATGTTATTAAAGAGTGGTATAGACATAAGTTCTTTTTGTGGTCAGAGCACTAGACATTCAGCTACTTCTGCCGCCTCCAGGAAAGGGATAAGCTATGGTAGCATCCGGTTGGCCACGGGGTGGACGGAAAAATCTAAAAAATTCGCAAGATTTTATCAAAACCATTTGTTTCTAGTAAGTCTGACTTTGCGGAAGCAGTGTTCAGTTGTGCCTAATGTTAAAGAAATTAGAAATAGTTGTTCTTGTTCACTATAGAGAAATAGTGGAAATCACTGTTAAGTTTGCAGTTACTAATATGTATATAATTACGCATATATAACTTGATGATACTAAACAAAGTGTTGCAACTACTTTGAACTACTTCACTTACCCTTATTTATGAAGGCGAGGCGCAATATAATTGAGAGATTGAACGAGCTTACCCAAGTGAAGTTTAATACTAATTATATGAGCCTCGCCGGAATAAATAAGTTCGCGCCCTTCACTCTACCCTCCCCAATATGTTGCAACAAAGCTTTGAACAGGTATGAGCGTTCGACGGAGTGGCGGAAGGACAGGACTGTATCCAGGGTGAGAAAATTTGCTTTGAACTGTGTGAGATTTGACTGCAAGCAGAGCTACTACACTTATCCTTATTTATTCCGGCGAGGCTCAAATAATTAGGATTAAACTTCACTTAGGTAAGTTCGTTTAATCCCTCATTTTTTGTACAAAATGGGGTTATACCGGAAATCACAAATATATAGATATTTACGTCGAACTACGAAGAAATAACACGTGTCCGTGTTATACTTCAAGAGAAAACGATGTGTAGCTTGGACAATAGTCTGCAGAAACAGCACATGTCCAGGACATGTGCTGTTTCTGCGGAACAAATTATATCGGTAGCGGTCTTCTTGGTCATGCGCATCTACCGCAAATGATTTTCTCCTTGTCTAATCGCTTGCATCAAAAATGTGAGAGAACCTTATTTGGTAAAAAATAGAGTTTGCTTATTTTTTTTTTTGCTAATCTCGTCAGTAGTCGTTTTGTGGTCCGCTGTAGTGTTTACTAGTACGCGATGGATTCCACTGAAAACGAAAGTTCTTCCCATCGAAAGAAGAGGGCAAATCCTGATTGCTACCAAAGAAGCATTATTAAAAAGGCAGGTATAAAAGGCGAACCTTATAAAAACTACAAGGGTGATAATATTCCTGGCAAAATACTTGGCTCCGCTTGCAGGTAACTTTAGAACGGCTTTTTAGTTCTGCTTGACTTCTGAAAAATGTTTTCTTATCTTTTAGCTGTCGAGCAAAATGTTTTGAAAAATTCTCCAACGAAGAACTGCAATCAAATGTGGTGCGCTTTATTTCCCTTGAATCTAATGATGAAGGGGACATATTTCTGCAAGGACTGATAGAGGTTCGAAGTATACAGCGGCGGCGCGCTAGGGTTGAGGTGGGAACTAAAGCAAAATCCAATACCTTTAAATACTACACATTCAAAGGTTCAGACAAGATTGAAGTTTGTTTGAAAGCATTTATCTCAGTCTATGGTATAGCTTTGGGTCGAGTTAGAAGACTTAAAGATCTTGCCGTGCTAGTAAAATCCTCTAGAGACTTACGTGAAAAAAATCCAAGTGGTAATAAACTCGGCGAAGAAGTTCAGTTTGCTGTTCGAGAACACATTCTGTCGTTTCCCGTTAAATTAAGCCATTATGCAAATCGAGAAGTTAAGTACTTTAAATAGTGAGCTGAATTTAAAGATTATGTACGACTTATTTAAGGAAAAATACCCCACATTGAAGGTCAGCTACCCATATTACACACAGTATTTCGAGAAAATTTTTCTTTGAGATTCGGACGCCATCAAGTTGATATGTGTGCAACATGTGAGACTTTAACCAACAAAACAAAAAACACGCTCTTAAATGATACGGCCAAACGAGCAAAAGTTTCAGAGCTGCTAGTTCATAAACGGCGAACTAAAAAATTTTATGCAAAACTGAAAAGCGAGTCTAATGAGCCTTGTGATTCAAAAAATATTCTAGCTTTAGCTTTCGACTTTATGCAAAATGTTCAGCTGCCAAAAACACCTGTAGGTGATGTGTTTTATTACCAGCAACTGACCATTTCGGTGTTTTGTATACATAATATTAAGGAAAATACTGCACGAATGTATATATATCATGAAGGGCAAGCGAAGAAAGCTGCCAACGAGATTTGCTCTTTTCTTTTGGATTACCTTAAGGATGTTCCCAGAGATAATATAAATGAGATCCACTTATACAGTGACAACTGCTGGGGACAAAATAAGAATCACACTTTGGTTCGCATGCTTCTTGCACTGACAGGTAGTAGCCAGTATTCCAAAATCGTACACTATTTTCCTATAAGAGGTCACTCTTTCCTTCCCTGCGATAGAGACTTTGCTATTGTGAAGAGAAAACTAAAAAACATGACAGAATCTCCACGGTTCATCAACTAACCGAATTGATTGTAATGAGCAGCATGTCGAATAAATTTTCAGTTAAAGAAGTAAAAACAGAAGATATTATAAACTTTAAAGAGTGTTGGCCAAAACTACACAAAAAAACGTAATATCTGGGGAAACTTCTTCCAAGATTACACCACGTAAGTTAAAGGTCCATTTCAATATAAGTACCTATTCACAATTTAGTTACGACACACAAAGAAGGGGTTGCGTCGAGGCTTCGAAATTCATAGACGGAGCTTTCCAACACACATTCAAACTCCAACAGTCAGGGAAGACTGCAGTAGCGTTACCTTCTCAACAGGCCTATTCGTTGGGAAAAGTCCCTATAAAGATGACAAAAATGGAACACATAAGAAAATATGCATCGTTTGTAGAAGATCAATAACAAGAATTCTATACTTCAATACTTAGTTGGCCAACTACTTCTAATTAGAAATTACATGTTTTTTTTTTCAATTTGTGATAAATAATCACGTTCCATTAGACAAAAGTATTTCAATTTCATCCTACGCTATGCAGAAAGCTCACATGTCCAATTCTTTAGAAGGCTGTACAAACTTTTTCTTTTTATTTTGAACAAAATTAAATATTAGAAGATATTACAGCCGCCTTAAACTATAATTTCCAACCGTTAAACACAGGGCGCATTTATTTCAACAAATAATATAATGTTTTTTCCATTTCCTCGAGAATCACTTTTTTGGACATGTGTCGTTTCTGCAAACGCCGATTCAAATGTTCTGTTTTGCAGCGCTATTAAATATTGTGCTAATTTACGTTTAGTTTCCATTGAAGGATGTATGATGGCGCAACGCCTAGAAATACCGGAACTTCATTTTACGCATCCTTCCAAAGGCGTAAAAACGCTATTTTCTAACAGGATATTCCCCGTCCCTATATGCAGAAGCTTCAATAGCGCCCAAGTTATCTACCTTCCTTGATCACCTGGATCTCAAGACGTATGAACATGTTTTGTGGAATATGATGGAAAAAAGTGAACTCTTCACCTCATCCTCCACCAATATTATATCTTCTTTCCTTGATCTCCTGGATCTCAAGACGTTTGAACATGTTTTGTGAGATATGATGGAAAAAAGTGACCTCTTCACCTCATCTACCATCAATATTAGCACCTTTTCGAAACCAACTACAGCTAGCTTGAAATGAGATAGCTCAAGAAGACATAAATTGCCTCATCAGATGCATGCCTCGACACTGGGCGAATGTACACCGAGTGTTTCAAATTCGGCCCCCATTATTGGGACCTTGGGCTCTGCCTCAGACAAGAAGTCGATTAAATGGGGGCAAAGTTGCATATTTAGGTAATCAAGAAAATAACACCGGATAGAATTAGAAAGAAACGAGTTTTTCCAAAATCGTTTTAATATTTTACTTGTAGTGAGATTTTAGCATAAATTGCATTTTGGCACAAATGAATAGAGTTTTTAATTTGAATTCCAAAAATGTGTAACACGCCATACATTGCCATTGCCGAATCTTAGTTATTTCGAAAAAGCAGAATTTCCTAGGTAGGCCTTGAAATTGTCAGATAGTCATTTGTTTGACATACCAGATTTATCCCAAAATTATTGGTATTTCTTCCTGACTTTATTTAAGATGGAATTTCAAAATAAATTACATGTTGTCATTGTTACTTATTCTCATCTACAAGTCAAATTTTTATTTCTTTCGACTTCCATCATCAACTTTGTTCTCTCATATCGACGTTATATAGGAATTTTGCATATTTGAATGGACTTTTCCTGAACATAAAATGAATGTTTCATTCGTGGTAATAACAATGATAGTCATAAATAGGCAGATATAAATCATAGGTGATGCTTAAAATGTCCGTTGTTTTATAGCAACATTGCTCACTGCTCGATTTATTCAACTGCTTGTCAATCTTACTAACTATTTCACTATGTTCAACTTGAGGTCTGGTCTGGTATGCGAAACAAATAACTATATGATAATTTCAAGGCCTACTTATGAACTTCTGTTTTCCTAGAATAACTAAGGTTTCTCAATGTCAAATGTATGACAGACATTTTTGGAATCAGAATTAAAAACTCTATTCATCTGCGTAAAAATCCAATATGGCGTCCATAAGGAGAAATAAAGGTGATGCTGGACGACAAGAGACGAAACCTCTAATCAAGCCATCATGTAGAGGAGAAAAAGTTGCAATGTTATTATACAATTTATTTTAATATCCCACTACAAATAAGGTCGGGAAAATATTAAAACGATTTTAGGAGAATTCTGTCTTTCTGTTTCGCTTTGGAAGAAATGTTGAAT